GCTAACACTTTAAAAGAATCTACTCCATTATCTGAAAAGATTTGTTAATAATAAATATAACCTGATTTTCTTTAAAGTCATCTGATTAATAATTAACAAGTGAATTTATAGTAAATATACTTTATTTATTATTAATGCATCCCATGGGATAGTCAAAACGTGGAAACATCTTGAAACAAACTGCGACAAAATTCAGCCAATACTTAACAAGGCATCAATTATTATTTTTTTAATAACTCATAAACTTACCTTTAAAAGTATTAGCCAGATCTTCTAAACCGTATAACAGTTTAGAATTTATTATGTCCATATCAACATCCATGTTTAAGGACCTATTTTTGTTTTGTTAGCATTCAACAACATAGAAAAATATTATTATGTACTTACACAATCACTGCAACAGTTTATACGCAATACAAATTTCCTTATTATATGAAAAATGATGCAAAAGCACAAACAGAGCACAAACCACCACCACCTTTATCAGCAAAGATGTAAACCACCCACTATGTGAAATTTTAAAGTGGTGGGAATCATCCGAGGTAAAACGACGCGTTACGATATTCCATTTGTTAATTATTAATATATCATATTTCTTACAAACAATATGATTTAATAGTTAGAAAATGTGACTTATTTATAATAATCATTATTTACGAAATAAAAAACTATTAATAAACAATATTTATTATAATATATAATAATTATTAATAAACTGTGAACTAAATACGAATATAACGTATATTTACAATAAATTAATAAACTATTTTATTTGACACACATTTAGTATATTAATAACAAATAAATTCGACCCAAATAAATATTTTTTTTTACAAAAAATAAATTAAATTTCAGAATATATTGTTAGTAAATAAAATTGATTTACAACATATTTTCTGTATTTATTATAAATATAAACGTCTCAAATAAATATTTATTAATTATTAACCCTAGCATGTCTTTCAGTGTACACACAAGCATATTTAATTTAAAGTTGTTCTTTGGTCTTCATAAAATATTAAGAGATATTAGTTTTAATATAATCCCAAAGCAAAGCAATATGGTATATACTACGGCAAAAATGTTTAAAAAAGAATACGCGACATAAAGTTTACTTAACCACCATTTAGCTTTATGAAGGTTTTATAAAAGCTGTGACAACCTTTTTAAAGCAATAATAAAACCTAAAGGTTTTATTATAATTATTGATGCAAAGCATTTGATTTTGTTTTGTTTTCGTGCACTGCGCGCTTATGTCGTCATCCGTATCCTGTGGAGCTTGGCGCGGTGCGCCGTTAGTTCGACTCCGGGCGTCCCCGGATCGAAGCGTCGCGACGCTCATGCACCGGCATTCCAGCTCCGGGCTCCGGACAAGCTCCGCATCGCCAAAAACATAAAATAACCCCGAATGATAAGCCTCACCACCTAAATATTTAAACGTAAACACGCGCGTGTCGTTGTTAATTTGTTGTTAATTAAAATGTTGATTGTTGTTGTGGCGCCATTTTCTTATCTGCCATCAGCCGGTCGCGCCCTCTGCATTAACCAGCGGCGCACCAGTTGAAACACAGATTCCACGTGTTACCTTTTTACCTACTACACTTGTTTTGCCTGCTCATCCTTAGTGGGGAGCCCAGTAGCAGGTATATTCAGTCCAATCAACGAGCTCTATCTCTCTCTCCCATTTGCGAATCGATCAGCTTTGATTTCAATTTAATTTGTTGTTTCATCGACGAAGAACATTTTCAATACAGTTTTAATTATAGCCAGTTTGTATGCTTATAAGCATTCAAAGTAAAATCTCCTTCAAACTTCAAACAAATTCTTCACTCATCTCATTTTGGTTAATTTAAGTCACTTACTCATTAACTGATATTTACATTCGTTATACCTTTTAATCTTTTATTATCAACAATATTCCCAAATAAAATTCTGTGTTATTTTCATATTTGCTGTATAAATCCATGGATTTATACAGCAAATATGAAAATAATTGGAGATGTTTTACAAACTGTATGAAACTCAATCTAGTAAAAAGAAGAATTTATTTTTTGTCGAAGGTGCACCTTACATGTATAGAATACGATAGAAAATAAAAATATTACATTACATATAAATATTGAAAACTGCACAGCTGATATTATTGAATACAAACAAAACCGACCGATACAGTACATCTTGAATAATATTATCTTTAATGCTTTCATATTTTTTATCTTTTTTACTTTTGTTCACTACAAAATCGATTAGATGTTTAATTTTTGATAGCATACATAGATAATTACAAAAATCGCTATTTAATAAACTTTACAATAATTGTTAATAAATAATTAGGGCAAAAAGGGTTATAAAATAAACCAAAATTGTGTTTTTGGACACTTTATAGTTATTGGACAATTAGCATTAATACTGTAGAAACAAAAGTTCTATAAATAATTACCTTAAAGTCAAATCATTAGATGACGCTGTATACAATTATAACTATCTCAGTCGGTAATAATACAGAACTACTTTATTTTGGGTCCAATATAGCACAAAAAAGTTCGCACGTTACTTTGGTGGTGGAATTTTTGTTTTTTTGGTAAGAGCAGGGTTGTGTTTAAATTACAATAAAAAATATTTCTAAAAAGTGTACAGATCAGTGTGTGGTATTAATGGTTTAAACATTGTCACTTTAATGCGTTTTAATTTTAATTCTGAAAACAGTGTCCAATTACTGGTTGGTAAAAAATGTAAATTTCCATTATTGGACATACGTCCAATAATATACTCTATTTATCAGCCTATTCTTATGAAAAATTGTCGCCTAAATCCGAAAAGACCGTCAAAAACTATAAATGTTAAGCAGTTTTTGAGATATGGTCAATTCCATATTATATGTAAATTGATTATATTTCAAAAACTGTTCTACTTTAATAACTTTTGATGACATTTTCGGATTCGAAAAATATTTCATAGGAATTGACTGCTAAATGTCCTGGACACAAATTACTGTTGACGAGAATTATTAGTGGCTGCTTTTTTGCTATAACATTTTTGACTAATTTTTAGAAAGTAAGTAATATAGTGATTTCTTCGCCACAGGACATCTTGCAGAATAACAGTGATTTAAATACAGTGCATGATGGAGAATATAAAAAACTAATGGCAACAAAATTAATAAACATTAAACATTATAAATGCTTCACAAACTAGAGATACCACACTTAATAATATTTGCAACAAAATATTTCAGAAGTCAGACTAAGGAATTAGTAGTTACCTTTAGAAAGCAGAAAATGAATGAAGAATCAGAAAAAAAAATATATGAATTATATGATATTTACAAAAACGCAACATCAATTTATCTTTAAAAAATATTTAACAATTTATGTTATTTGATGTAAAATTGTTATGGTTTTATAAAAATTGTATGTCCAATAACTATGGTCCATGTTTCCAATTACTATATAAAATGCCCAATATCTATACTTTTTTGCATGTTTTTGTAAAACTATTATTAAATATTCAAATTTTCAATTTTGTGTCGTTTTAAACCAATTTTCTATTACAAATTTTGCTATACTTCTGCAACAGAAAAATCTGGGGCACTAAATTGGAAAATTTATCTTTTAATATCCACACTGCCGTACATTAACTATATACATACATCCTGCTCGCGATTATTACTTTCCACTCTCGTGAAGTGTGTGGAATCACGTGTGCAAGCCTTACGATGTTTTATACTCGATAAATAATTGGCCAACGATCTAAATAGGCCATAAAACGTTATATATACGAGATTTTTCCCGGCTAAATGCGAAAAAAACCGTCCGCAATTCTACGGAACGTGTGCGATATTGGTGGAGGCCGATATTTAATTTTTAGCCATGTCAGATTTTATCGGCATGATTTTTATTACTTCTCGAAATTTATTAACCGAGAAAATTACATGGAAAATTTCATAACCTGCAATCTTTTTGCTCCTATAAGTTTTGGTTTAAATAACAATAAAGGTTCTTAATGAAAAACTCAAAACTTTTGATTTTTAAACATCCCTTTGTATATTTGAAATACGTTATTGTATATTTTGACACCTTAATATATTTTAAAAATACAATTGTACATACAAAAAATATTTATAAAAAAAATCTACTTACTGAGATATTACACTTCACGGTGAATAGGTTTTTAAATAGCAAATTAATGAACTTAAACTTTTGAATTATAAAACAGCAACCCTCTCATCTGCATATAAATTCTAACTGACCCTTAGGAATCATATGCATCTATAATGTCGTAAACAGAGCTTATTTAAAATGATTTAAGCGCCATCGGTTGCATAAATTTAAAGAAAAAACAGATTCACGGAGGATAGAATCGATTTTTGTAACACCTACTTAAATGGTTATAAAAATTATTTCTTTTAATTTTTAATATTATTTTATATTTGATTCGATTGCTTTGGATATGTTTAATTTACTTAGTGAACTGATATTTTTAGTTTGCTTTTACCACCTCAGATATTTGAAAACATATAATTTAACTCAGAAAGAGTAACCGTCACGGAGGATAGGTTTTAGACTTTTAAAATATTGTAATTATGAAATATCAAAACACAATAAAAGTGTAGGTCAAACTCATAAAGCAAAATTCAGTGGGTATGCATTATGTAATTTAAACTTTCCAGTATTAAATATACAAACTATGGCTTTGTTTAAACTAAGTTTAGTTGAGTTTTACCTGGGGATTTATGTTTTGTTATTGGTTGAATTTTGCGAATTTCAGTACAGTATTAATAAATGTAAAACCAAGATAAATATTGGCCATACATTTAAATAATTCCTTGAAAATTGTTACACTTGTAAAATAAAAAGACGAAAAACACATTTTTATTTTTTCGTTAGCAAAACCTTGTTGTTTCTAAAATGAAACCGAGTTAAAAATGCATTTTGGCACAAGCACACAGACAAAAAACGTTCCAGTTAAACTTTCTTTAAAACTTATTACTTAAACTTTAGCAGTTCGTAACTCGATACAGCGGCATCGAGTTGGCGTGGTAAACAGGGCCAAAAAAGCGAACGTCGTCGCTCACTCGTTCGCATTCGAGGACATCTAGATTGCCATGCGAAAAACCGAAATTGTTTCCGCGTGTTCTCTATTTTGTTCTTCTAATTTAGAGGAATGCTGATAAAGAAACTCGAGACTCAGATTCACTCAATTTATATTTAGAAAAAAACTAACGAGTGTTTGAGAGATGGTCAAAGTTAAAGTAAGTTTTCAAATAGGGAGAACAAGATTTTTTAAAAACTTTATTCCATTTTTTTTAAACAGTTTTCTTTTAGTTTTTGTTATTTTTTAACTAGTTATAGGATTTTTTTCTTATTTGTATGCAAAGAATTTCATCCTTATATTTTTCGCAATATTAATGAATCACCCTTTATTTCTATGATATTTATTTTTTCACTAAAATTGACAAAATTCGAAATGTTAAACGTTGTTTTTAAATTACTTGTTTCATTAATTATGATTGTTTTTAAAATAATATAACAATGGCAAAAAATATTCATTGTATTTTTTCTTAAATTTAATAAAAACGAACAGGCCTTGGAAAAATTGTCTTTTTTGGGAAAAATGTATGTTTTTTTTAATACAATAAGGAATCAACAACCTTACATTATTTTAATTTAAAAAAAAACATTCATTTAAGAAAAGATACGTACCTATGTAAATGTTAAATATTCATGAATATGTATTACTTAAATGATTATAATCAGAGTCGAAAATTCTTTTTTTTCTTGATATCAGTATACAGATATTTGGTAATTTTCAGAAAAATTGACGTTTGATTTGATTTTTTTCGTATTAACCTTTGAATAAAATGGAAAAAATGCAAAAGGATATTTTTTCCGAAAAAAACGTACTTTTCTTCTGAAAATTTTAAAACCCTAGTGGTAACTAATCTAATTGGCAAGAAAAATCACAATCTGTATAAAAATATAGATAAATGTCTGTTTACATAAGATTTTTGTTTTTTTTTAAGAGCAGGGCTGTGTTTAATTTACAATAAAAAATATTTCTAAAAAGTGTACAGATCAGTGTGTGGTATAAATGTGTTCCTCGTGGTTTAAACATTGTCACTTTAAAGCGTTTCAATTTTAATTCTGAAAACAAACAGTAAAATTGCCAGTGTCCAATTACTGGTTGGTAAAAAATGTAAATTTCTATTAATGGACATAATATGTACAATATCATACTCTATTTGTATCCCGGACATTTACCAGCCAATTCTTATGTAAAATTGTCTTTGTAATCCGAAAAGACCGTCAAAAATTATAAAATTCAAGCAGTTTTTGAGATATAGTCAATTCCATATTATATGTAAAATAGATTATAGGTATTTCAAAAACTGTTCTACTTTTAATATTTCATAGGAATTGACTGCTAAATGTCCTGTATACAAATTGCTGTTGACGAGAATTATTAGTGGCTGCTTTTTCGCTATGACATTTTTGACTAATTCATTTTTAGAGAGTAAGTTATATAGTGATTTCTTCGTCACAGAATAACAGTGATTTAAATACAGTGCATGATAGAGAACATAAAAAACTAATGGCAACAAAATTAATAAATTCGGAAAATAAATTTAACATACCACCTAAAAAAATATTAGATATATATAAATCATCCTGTTCCGGCCTAAACATTATAAATGCTTCACAAACTGGAGATACCACACTTAATGATATTTGCAACAAACTATTTCAGAAGTCAGACCAAGGAATTAGTAGTTACCTTCAGAATCCAGAAAAGGGATGAGGAATCCGAGAAAGAAATATATGAATTATATGATATTTACAAAAACGAAAAAAAATAAATTACCTAAAACAGCAATTTATCTTTGAAAAATATTTAACAATTTATGTTATGTTTATAAACAAATTGTATGTCCAATAACTAAGGTCCATGTGTCCAATTATAATTTTTGAAATACGACAGTCAATATTCTGATAAAAAGTTGTGAAAAAATAATTCTATTTGTAAAACAATAGTGAAAACAAAAATTTAATTGATTAAATAAAAAATGTGCAGCATTCATCATAACAAATTCAGACCTCGTTTCCGAGTTTGTGCAAATTTATGCGTACGCACCTTTAGAAGAGAGGGTGAAAAAGATACCTTTTCACAAAGAATGGTATTGTGCGTAGGCATGGTACAAATACAGCGGTACAAATAATTAATCACGTCCGAACGCGTCTCTGTGTATCTTGTTTTGCTAAACTAAAGGTGTGACCCAACGACAAATAAATTAAATTTCAAAGGGTCCACGCCGAGAGTTTGAATCGTTTATTTGCTTACTTTTTTTTACTTTAACAGTAAACAGTTTAATTGCACAAGGGTTGCTTCCCAATTTATATTTTAATAATAAAAACGGTTATATTGCTTTTTCAATCATTTTTCAACCAACACACGTTTCAACCAATTTTGCAGCATTGTAAAAATTAATAAATAAAGAATTCTGAGGCATGTCTCATTAAAATTTGCCATTTGTTGTTCGTAATGTATTCGGATGGTGTAGAACCAACATTTACTTGTCATGGAGCTGGGGAAAATTACGAAAGTAATTACATTCAATGCCCATAAAAACTCACGACTCATCCGTACTAATAAGATTAATTACTGCCGAATACACTAGCAAGCCATGCAATTAACGTTATAAAAATAAAATAAAACATTATATATATATATATATATATATATATATATATATATATATATATATATACGAGGGTGGTTCAAATATAAACCGGAATTTTTTAATAAACGGCGCTAAAAATTTAGTATCGTAAAAGTGGCTTCACTGGATGTTAGACTGGTCTGTTACGAAGCGTAGAGAACAGCCGGGACTGCGTAACCTCGCTTTTCAGTGTAGTTATAGCCATGAGCGAGAAGGATGTACCAGTGTCTGTTGCGCAACGCATCATTATTCGTATTTTGGTCAAAGATAATGTAAAATCCGCGGAAATTTATCAAAAATTACTCGAGCAGTTCGGGGATAAGTGCCTCTCCAAGACTCAAGTGTATAAATGGTGTTCCGCTTTGCGAAAAGGCCGAGAAGTGGTGGCAAACTTGCCATATGCGCGGCGCCCCAAAACAAGTGTTACAGATGAGAACGTCAGCGCTGTAGAAAAACTCATTTTGGAAGACCGAGGCAGTACTGTACGCGATATGGCTGAAGAATTGGGCATCAGCGTAGTTAGTATTGAGCAAATAATTCATAAACGGCTCGGTTACCGCAAAATTTCAGCCAGATGGGTGCCAAGACTTCTGAATTTTGATCAGAAATTCACACGCTGGGAAGTTTGATGAAAACATTGAACGAATTGGGTTGGAAAACACTGGAACACCCTTCTTATAGTCCAGATTTGTCGCCATGCGACTAGTATTTGTTTGGTCCATTGAAAGAGGCACTTGGCGGACTGCGATTCGAAAGCAATGCGGAGGTAGAATACTTCGTGCGCGAATGGTTACGTGACAAGCCGAGAGATTTTTACGAACAAGGCATCCGAAAGCTTCCGGAGAGGTGGCAAAAGTGTGTAGAGTGTGACGAAGACAATCTAGAAAAATTGTAAAAAATTTCAGCTCTGTAACTTAATAATAAAAAAATTTATAGCAAAATTCCGGTTTATATTTGAACCACCCTCGTATATATATATATTTATATAGTAATTGGACACATGTACCATAGTTATTGGAGATACAATTTTTATATAAACATAACAACTTTACATCAAATAACATAAATTGTTAAATATTTTTTAAAGATAAATTGCTGTTTTAGGTAATTTTTTATTTTGTTTTTGTAAATATTATATAATTCATATATTTCTTTCTCGGATTCCTCATCCCTTTTCTGGATTCTGAAGGTAACTACTAATTCCTTGGTCTGACTTCTGAAATAGTTTGTTGCAAATATCATTAAGTGTGGTATCTCTGGTTTGGGAATTATTAATAATGTTTAGGCCGGAACAGGATGATTTATATATATCTAATATTTTTTTGGGTAGTATGAAAAAGGATTTTCCAAATTTATTAATTTTGTTGCCATTAGTTTTTTATGTTTTCTATCATGCACTGTATTTAAATCACTGTTATTCTGCAAGATGTCCTGTGTGAAGAAATCACTATATTGCTACTCTCTAAAAATGAATTAGTCAAAAATGTCATAGCGAAAAAGCAGCCACTAATAATTCTCGTAAACAGCAATTTGTATCCATGACATTTAGCAGTCAATTCCTATGAAATATTATTCGCTGAATCCGAAAATGTCGTCAAAAGTTATAAAAGTAGAACAGTTTTTAAAATATAATCAAATTTATATATGATATGGAATTTACTATATCTCAAAAACTGCTTAACTTTTATAGATTATGACGGTCTTTTCGGATTCAGGGGACAAATTTACATAAGAATTGGCTGGTAAATGTCCGGGATATAAATAGAGTATGATATTGGACATGTCCAATAATAGAAATTTACATTTTTTACCAACCAGTAATTGGACACTGGCCATTTTACTGTTTGTTTTCGGAATTAAAATTAAATCGCATTAAACCATGAGAAACACATTTATACTACCCACTGATCTGTACACTTTTTAGAAATATTTTTATTGTAATTTAAACACAGCCCTGCTCTTAACAAAAAACAAAAATCCTACCACCAAAGTAACGTGCGAAGTTTTTTGTCCTATATTGGACCCGAAATAAAGTAGTTCTATATTATTACCGACTGAGATAGTTATAATTGTATACAGCGTCATCTAATGATTTGACCTTTTATATTCATTATGGATTTTTCTATATTCGGTACTTATTCCGCAACATTTTCCAATCCCATTTCGTCAAATCGATCCTTTATGCCATCGTCATTCGAAAATATTTTTATTTTGCTCCTTTTTTCGCAATTCACTCAAACTCGTCTACATTTGTGCATAGAGCTCATATGAATCACTCTGCGACAGAAACATGGAAAATATGTCTGCTTTTACTTTAGAAAGAACTTTAAAGTGATTTCGAGTTATAGCCGCATAAAATTTATCGGTTCACATTAAAATATCGAAATGCGATATTGTGTCACAGTTCTATGAGTTCAGTTTCAATATTTTGTCGATAATTTGACAATTTATTGGCAATGTATGCAAAGTTTAAACAACCACATGGACATAGAATGAAAAAAAAATATGGACATATATTTTAGGGGTAAAAACAATGATGATATCCAGTGATTAAAAAGTGGTTAAAAAAATCTTGGTTACTATAGTTTAATAAAGGTCTGACATGAGTTCTTTAGGCAATTTTATCTATTTTGCAAAATTCTATAAAAAAAATTAATTTTATTAGTTTGCTTTAGATAGTTGGTATCAGTCATTGGTTTGACAGTTAATGTCAAAATCGATTCGCCATGCCGTCGTTAATTTACTTATTTACAATAAGCGGCTGTTAAAGAAGAAAAGTTAAAGTTAAAGAAGAAAAAAAGGATTTTCTTTGGTGTTAAACAAAGTTTATTGCCAGAAAAGTCTCGTAAGTACTACAAAAATCATAAAAATATTATAACCAATATGCAAAATATTATGCTGTTTAAAGTATAGCCAACCTATAAAATCAAAATTTTAGGTGGGATAATAGTATATTATGTATCAAGTTTTATAAACGCCATTTTAGTTACGAGTTTAATTAAGCACGAGCGAAGCTTGCGAGCGAGTGTTTAATAAAAACGAGTGTCTAGAGAAGTTTATAAACGAGTTGCATACTATACTTTATCTACGACGAACCCAAAACAGAATTTAAAGCCAATTTTATTTGTTAAAATTTTGACATCTGTCATTTGTCACCCGAATTTAACTTCACTTTTTCCCAATTTATAATAAAGCTAACTTCAGCCCGTGACGTAAAATGTCGAAAAGCCACTGTTGTTAACTTCAGCCCGTCAATAAAACGCCATAAAGTGACAGCTCGTCAATGTAGGAGTAGATAAAGTATCTTAATACAGCACTTTACTTATTATTGTAGGAAAAAATCTTGAGACATACGAAGCATTTTATGACAAAGAAGAAATAATAACCGCAAAATATTTAAAGCTTTTTACAAACGACCGACCAAAAGTGGAATTTATGAAAATCCTTTAATTTGTAATTTCCTCTTCTGATGGGCTTCAAACTTCCTTTTTCGCCCGGCCAAATTCCCATTATGAAATTTTAAAAATGGCTCTTTTTATCCTTCTTTGCAGTCGATTTTTTTGCCGTCCATTAACGAACTCAATTAAAAATTGACGTTGAAATACTATTTCCTGTTAACTTTATTAACCAAATTTGTTCAAATATATTTATAGAATCGTATGTTTACACTAATATTTAAAAAAAAAACATTCTTTATTTTTTTGTTGTTCCTGGAAATTAAAAATAAAACAAACAGTTAAACAATTTTTGTTAAATAGTTTTGATATTTAATAAAACTAAATGAGTTTGACCTACACTTTTATTGTGTTTTGATCTTTCATAATTAAGTAGATATTACAGCTCAGGTTCCAGATTTTTAACCGCAATTAATTATTTTCTACATTTTTTTAAAAGTCTAAAACCTATCCTCCGTGACTGTTACTCTTTCTAGGTTAACCTATATGTTTTCAAATATCTGAGGTAGTAAAAGCATACTAAAAATCAGTTCACTAAGTAAATTAAACACATCCAAAGCAATCGAATCAAATATAAAATATTATTAAAAATTATTAGAAATAATTTTTATAACCATTTATGTAGGTGTTACAAAAATTGATTCTATCCTCCGTGAATCTGTTTTTTCTTTAAATTTTATGCAACGGATGGGGCTTTAATCATTTTAAATAAGCAATAACCTCTGTTTACGACATTATAGATGCATGTGATTACTGAAGGTCAGTTATAATTTATATGCAGATGATAGTGTTGCTGTTTTATAATTCATTAATTTGCTATTTAAAAACCTATCCACCGTAAAGTTTAATATCTCAGTAAGTGGATTTTTTTTATAAATATTTTATGTATGTACAATTGTATTTTTAAAAATATTAAGGTGTCAAAAGGTACAATAACTTATTTTAAATATACAAAGGGATGTTTTTAAAAAAACAAACGAAATCCTAATCTCCGTGAAGCTATTTTCCGTGAAGCTCTAATATTCAAAATGTACGATTTCTTAAAATTCTTGCATTAGTGCAGAACCACTTATGTTATGTTATTACTAGACTAACAGTGAAACAACCAAAAATAAAAAATAATCATTTTCACTTGGGGGACATCTCAATATAATCACCCATTTATAGAATCCTATGTTTATTTTTTATTTCTGGAAATTAAAAAAAAATAAGTTTAACAATTTTTGTTCATGATTTTTTATAATTTTCCATGATTTTTACCTAATTTTTTCTTAATAATATTTTTATAAAAATTATGGTATTGCTTATACAAATCGATAAATTATTGAGGTTCAACAATTATAACAAAAAATTCAAGAATGGGAAAATATCAAAAATAGTTTTTTAATAGAGTAGGTATACAGGTCTTTAAAATGCTTGTACAACATTTGATGACAGACTCGTGACGTCAAAATAGATTATGTATGCCAATTAAAAATTGCTTTTTATAATTTTGTAACCTCACAGAAAGTTTCTGTCAGAAACTAATATATTTTGTATATTTAATACTACACACATGATCAAAATTGTTGCATATTTTTGTATTTTAATTTTCGCTTTGTATAACGTTCTGTTTTTTGTTGTTTTGGAATAAATTTTCATTTAATTGTTATAATACGTAAAATAAAGAAAATTTAATATATTGAAGTATTTTTGTAGGAAATAATAAAAATAAAAGTTTCGGAACCAATCATCCTCCTCGAAGACGATAGTTCCAACGAGGATGATAACTTTGACGACAGTATTTAGATAAATAATTTATTGACAACAAAATACATAGTGTACATTACAATTATAAACAATTTTGAGAAAATAATCACCTTCATTCTATAAATAAAATTTATATTTAAAATGTTTTTTCACCTAAATCGTTGCTCTTAATAAATTTTTTTCACTTTTTAAAAATTATATTTAGTTTTATTTTTAATATTTCCTACAAAAATATAAACTTTAAATATATTAAATTTTCTTTATTTTACGTATTATAACTATTAAATGAAAATTTATTCCAAAACAACAAAAACAGAATGTTATACAAAGCTAAATTAAAATACAGAAATATGCAACAATTTTGATCATGTGTGTATATTTGTTAAATGAAATTAATAATTAATTAATTATTATTATCGTCATACAAAAATATTTTTGTAGTTTTTTCATTATTAGGTAATAAAAAGAATGTGTTCAAAACCCTTTAAAACGTAGAAACGTCCTAAACCCTCCTTATACCCAAGTAAATAAGTGCTAAAACATCACAAGTGCCGCAATTAAAAAAAATTAAAAATTAAAAATAAATAAAAAACCTAAAAAAAAATCGTGTGATATCTTCTGTTATGAGTGGGCGGCCGGTGCTAGTCAAGGACTACTACCCTTCGCCGCCCGCGGCAGTGTTGCCGATGTGCCCCGTGTCGCCGGGTGCATCTTCAACGTCGCACCTCTGGATCGGCGAAGAGACGAGGCGCTCGATGCCACCGCATGTGTACAAGTATTATTTGCAGCGGACGCGTTGCTATAGGAGACAAAGCTTGCGGGTAAGTTACCACATCAGCCGCCATCACCTTTGCCGCCGCCGCACTGTGTTCATTTAATAATTTTTTTAGAGTTAATTTGTAGTGTAAATTTCCCCAAGTAAACAAGTATGATTTAACACTATAGCACTGAGGATAAAGTAATTTTACACTTTATTAAAAAGTGTTAATTTACCTAAAATCGTGTACTTCTACACTTCCTGGGTAAACTCCCACTTTTCTTCATTGTAAATTAACACTACTTTGGAAAAGTTCTAATTTTAGAAAGGTACTTTCACTCTTTTAGTGCAAACTTCTAGTGTAAATTAACACTATTATTTGAGTAAAACCTATTGGTGGTAGTGAATAAAACGAAAAGGTAAATTAAGAGAAACATTTATTTGGAACAAAAATGTATGACAATTATCAAAATCGGTGCCTTTTAAAATATATTTTTATATTTGAGTCCTATGGCTGGCTTAAGCAAAACGGTTCCTTAAAACGTAAAAGTTTTAGATCAATGCAATGTTTTACTGGCTGTCAACTTGTAAGCAATGAATTATCTTGAGAATTCATCAGTAATCCATTTTTCTGTTATAAAAAACGGGTGATCCCATTGGTAGAGAGGCGTCAGGCGGCTGTATGTCGGGGATTTACCACACGTGTACAAATTTTCCATAATATTAATAAAAATGTAGGTATAGGTTAATATAACAACCAATACGCTTGAAAATAAAAAGTAAATCAAGTGTTTATGTATTTATATTATTAATGTTACAAGTACCCGACCTACTGCCGTAAATTATTGATATATAATTTAGGTCGGGTATGGACATACTTTTAACATATTGGTATTTATTGAGTATTAAGGCTTAAAGAAAAAGGAAGTATAATACTTAATACCAAAAAATAAGAATGTCCTCTTATGGATTCACCGTAATTAAAATTTAACTGAACAAAAATGCTACACTTCCACAACGCGGTATCTCCGGATATGCACTGCGTAGGTAGATAGGTATCAACCAAACATTTTAAAACCCATTTCGTTTATTACCAGTTTTTTCAGTATATTTTGCCACTATTGGTGTAATTTAACTTTAATTGTGATACAATGTGCACTAGTTGTGTAAAGAAAAAAGAGCTCCTAGTAACATCAAAACAGACAAAGAAATTGGCATGCACTGTAGTGTACATTTTGTCACTATTTAACAAATTAAAGGGTAATAAATACTCGCATTAAGTTTTTCTACCCTTTTGATTTATTTTAATAATAAATAGTGTGAATGTACCAATGAATAATGTTCATATTCTTTAAATGTGTTTAATAAAGTTAATAAGCACTAAATGCTACCTAGTGTATTTTGTAGTGTAAATCAACTCTAATATTTTTATTCCAACACTAAAAAATTTACACGGGCAAATTTTTTACTGTGTATAACAGTATGTAATATTACGATATACCAAAAGTATTTTTTACATATTTGCTAATGTCATTTTACATTTGAACTACCTACTAAAAAATGTATTATAATATTTAAAATATTAATATTTCAAAATAAGCGTTCCTGTCATTATTTCTCATTTTAAGTTATAGGTCATTCCATTACAAACGATACTGATCTGTACTGGCTGAATGATCATTGTGCCTCTAACTATGTTTTTTTTTCTTGTGTAAAAACTTTAACACCCGAAACGTTTCGGGTGTTATTAAAACCTTTTTCATATGTTGATATGTGTGTGTATTGCTTAAAGAATGCAATAAGTATTATTTTTTAGGCTCTTTTAACGGCTTACTAGCGCCGCCATCGAAAAAGCACACTGTTAAAAATTTCATGACTATTTTAACACCAAATTAACACCATACATGGTCTATATCGTTACAAACCAAAATGGTGTTAAATATGGTTCATTGGTCCAGTGCAAATTCAAATACTAAATTAGTGTAAATTTAACTTTCACACAGTATTAAAATAAATTTTACTTGGTGTAAATTGAACTCCTTTTCAGTGTTAAATATTATGTGTTTGTGGTCAAATTAAATCATACTACACAGAAAAAAAAAAGGAAACAGGAAGTTCCTTGACGCATTACTAGTATATTACCAGTGGTATTATTCCAGAAAATTAAACCTTCAACTCGCTAGAGATAATGTTTTTAGTACGTTCCACCAACTTAAAATACTTCATGTATACATACAATATATTGACAGCTGCTTTTACCTATTTAAGGTCTCTTTAGTATCGAACAACTTGTAGTGTCACACCACAGCAAAGGACTACCTAAGCTTATATACTCTTTATGTAAGTCAACATTGGCGAGATTTAAGAGCATCACGTGATCCACACCGCCTTTGCCGCGATCGGTACACACTATGCAACCGGGAATGCACGGTAAATTTTTTTAATCGTTTTAACAGAGTGCTTTAGGTTGAAGTAACTCTTATTTTACAAACAACATATTTAGTAAAGTGAACCATACAGCTGGTTTGACTTATGTTATCCTACAAACTGTACTTACCAATTTTACAACTAAAAATGTAGAGAATAAGGCACAAAATACATAAAAATTTAGAATTTGGTTGAACAAATGAACACTTGAAACGTTGAAATGACCCTAGAGCAACTTAAAAAATAGTGTTATGTTTTTATACATTTATACATTGATACTGGAGTTTTATTAACTTAAGGTCAAAACACAATAGAATGTCGTAAAATATTACATCCTCTTTAAACTAAAAACCGTTTGAAAAATGACCGAAAATATACCAAAGCGTATAGTAAAATGTAATAAAAAACTAATACTAAACTTATTAAAATTGTTCAAATTGTCCTGAAAATAAAAAAGCGAAGCACACTCCGCCTGTTCATATAAAAATGTATAAAATATAAAATTCTCGAGAAAATTTTGCAAAGCTTGCGTTTCATGCAGTTGAGACTTTATAAGACTTTCTGTAACATGATTTCGCACACAAAAAGATTTAATTTCTCGAAACATAAACATAAATGCGATATGTTTTGTCGTATGCCCAGATTGGCAGGAATGTTTGGACCGGCTTGCAGTTTTATTTTCCTCTGTACTCGTTTTACCAGTTTTTGTTGTTTTGGAAAATTACATTTTTCTTCCATATAAAGTATTTTCAACAAATGCCCGGTAGGCATTTAATGTGATTTTATTACACCTATGCAAAATACAGGGTGTACGAAAAACAACCAAGTGCAAAGTGTTTTTGTTCAAAAGCTATGAAAATTATTTATATTTACGTATAGTAAATTTTATATAGTAAAAAAAATACAGTAAAATTTACTTTAACAAATTTTTAAGGTATTACACAGTAAAAAATATTTCGGTGTAAAGTTACCAAATGGAGTGGTAAAATCATTTGGTGTTAATTTATACACTAAAATTGGTCAAAAATATTAAGTGTTTATTTTAAATTGTGGTAAAATTCATTCGTGTTAATTTAAATTTATTTTACACAGCACCGTGTCAATCTAGTGTTAATTTAAAGATAAACTCGATGCAGTGTACATTTGACACTATTATTTGTTGACAGCTACACACATTGTGGTAAAAAAAAGTCACGTAGTCATCGCCATTCGCTAACGGCAAGGGAGAGATCAGTATTCCGAGTGCAGTTGATGGTAGTGTACCTATGCATGGTATTTTAAGACCATGGTTTTTAAATTAAAATTCAGTGATCGGGTAAAGTGGTGCAATGTGACAGTGGATGTAACTTATGTTTGTGATATAACATTTTTTTTTACCTGTGATTTTTAAGTGAAATATGAAATTTAGTAAAATTTTAAGTTTTTTGAGCTAGTGAAAAATCATATTTAACTTATAAACCTATATAAGCTAAATATGGTTTTGCACAAACTGGAAAAAACTTAAAATATTAAGTACTACTTTTCATTCAAATAAAAATTTTTTTTAACACTTCTTGGATATAAGAATACAGTATACTATATTCTATAGAAAGTAGTGTTAATCATTTTTTTTTTAAATTTTATGCCAAAGCCTATTTGTATTCATATCTAATAGTTTGTAAGTAATATAAAATATACTTTATTTTACATTACATGCTGTGTTTAATATTAAAACAGCCACCATTTTTAACACCTACACGTAACACCCACATGTGTAGTAAATTACACCAAATTGAGCATTTTCTACTCTTGAATGGAGTTCTTTTACCAATATTGCGTGTTGCTTTTACCCCTAAGAGTGTATTATATTTGATGATTTTTACACTGTTACGAGTTTTTTGTACGAATAGTACGTGTAGATTTTTAACCAATTAAAAAGGGTAAAATTTACCAAATTGTATGTGGTTAGATATACCATTTCTAGTGTGGACCTATATAGACCACTTTTGGTGTTGTTTTTTACCAGAAATTTTTTACTGTGTAATATTATATATTCGTCAATACAATATTAAGATTGTAATATAAAATACTATTTTTTATTATACAATTTTAGTAAAGATTACAACACCAATATTACTAAATCATATAATATATATTTTAATTTTTAATACATTCGTATAGTAAATTAATTTTACTATAAACAAATAGTAATATTTACTATATGATTTAATCAAATGTAAGGGGTACATCTTATATTATAATATATTACACATTAATAAAAAATAAAGTAAAAATAAAGATACTTTTATGTTTAAGGTAAATAAACAATATATTTAAATATAATATACAATATAGTAACTCATGACATTTTAAACATTCAATTTTCTTAGTTTCTTCAATAAACTTTCTTGACCCATTACTGGTAATACTTATAAGAAAGAATTGAACCTACTTATGCATAGTATGTACCGATTGCGGCAAAGGCCACGTCGCGACGCGTCGTTAGACGGTGTGGATCACGTGATGTTCTTACATCTTGCCTCTGTTGGCTTACCAACCATGTTATATAAGCTCAGGTATTTCTTTGTTTTGGGTGGGTTCCACTACTACAAGTTGCTCGACAGTGTCGTGTCGACACTGATGATACCCAATATAGGT